GAACAAAAAACACGAAAAATCGAATTGGTGATTTGAATTTCTAGTTGAAATAGGTTTTGTTCACTTCGAACTAATAGTCTTGGGAAAGGCAAAACACAAGTTTGTCCTATTATTCCAGACTGTTGGAACTGCATAACATCGTATAATCTGCAGAATCTAATGCATAAGGCAAATGAACAGTTTTCATTCATGCAATTTGAACTACTGAAAAATTTCCTTTTTTTATTTTTTACCGCGTGATGAATATCACAGTGTCTGGTTGATTTGGAGTTTTCAGAAAAATGGCGCCTAGATAAGTAAAGCAAACATCGACAAATGGTAAGACTTTAAAGAAGAATAGTAAGGTTCTATTCTGGAGAAGAATCGATGAGGCAGAAGCGAATTGCATATAAATTCACACCCGATGAGATAAATGAGAGAGACGTTGGGTGATGAATGGTCAGGTTGTGGTTAGGAAAATATATATACCTCGTTAATAAAGCGAGATAAAAAGAAAATAATGAGATAGGATAAGAATGATGTCTGGCGTGAATATAGGCAATCTGGAAAGCATTTTCCGCCAAGCAAGACCGAATTTATCAGAAATAATAGCTTCTTTGGAAGGTTGACAAATGAAAAAAAAATAGAAGTTGAAAAATATTCACGAAATTAGTTCTCACCCTATCCTGAGCTTGTATTTTTTTTAGATATTGAGTAGAAAATAACTTCTGTATGAAAACCTCAAAGATGTGTGTAGCTTCACTTCATTTTCTATTTGGAGAAAAACGACGGTACACAAAAAAAAAAAGATAAATGAAAATTGGTACAGCTTTGTTATATGGTAAGTGTTTTTTATGTGTTAATAATTAAGTTTTATATTATGAAGAGTAGTCAACAGTAAGTTTGATAAATAAAACATTATGGATTTATACTAATTTAAAATGTAAATGGTGGTATTTTCATGAAAACATTTAATGACTGAGATGAAAACTGTTTCCAAGAAAAAAAATATTGTATGATATTTTAATGCAATTTTTGGTTTTGCTAGTGACTCTAATAACTCTTATTCCTCGATTTTTTTTTCAAACTGATCGCTTACTGCAGAATTAAGACAACGGTTTACAATGAGCACAAAAGAGAGAGCAAGCAAGCAAAGAACTACTAACAACCACTGGAAACTCGTATACCATCAGCAGAAACCAACATGAAAAACATAAAAATTAGAATGAAATTCAATTTTATTAATAGAAGCACTTAATAATGCCAGAAGAACTAACTATATAATGATCAATTAACTAAATATCAGTGGTAATTAACAACTCTGTTAATGCACCTAATACTTCTGACTAAGAGGAATATGGAACTGAAGATGCAGGAATAAAGACATAATCCCCAGATATAGCAAATTGGCTCAAATCTATACCAGAATAGAATGAGAAAGATAATGCAATGGGATCTGGGCAAATGACTACATTTGGATCATACAGACAAATGGTATAAACTTAACAGTATATGCAGAATGCAATGATATATGCACAGGGTTGTAGCATATGTAGAAAATAATGTTACATGTACAGCATAATGGTATATAATAACGTGATCTTATTCGTACATATGAACATGCAACGGGGCCTTCATCCAGTTTTCCATCGTCTCTATCCTCCTGTTTTGAATTTCTAACCACAAGTTAATGTAAACTTGTGGTTGTAAATCTTCAACGTGTGGCGTTGTTGTCACTTGACTGGAAACGCTTTATTTTATTGATATCTTTATTTGTTTGTTTCTTCCATTTCGATCAAGTGGAAACAACTTAGAAGACTTGATTTCCTAAATCTTTTATGCCGGCCATAAAACGCAAAACACCGCAGATCGAGATAAAAGCATATCTTCTTCTATGTAGCTGCCCCAATCATAATTTCACATGCATACCAACCGCATCATACCAACTAATAAACGGTAGATTTTTAACTTCCAAGAGCATTAATCTTAACTACTACTACTACTAATAATAATAATAATAATGATAATAATAATACTAACGGGGATGTCAACATACATACCGAGATCAAGGTACGAAACCAGATATTGTCATAAAAATCTGAAAATATGTGTTATCTTATAGCAATAATAATAATAATAATAATAATAATAATAACTGTCCCGATTGTACGACTGAAAAGTTCATAGACTGACAAAGATATAATTGCAAGTGTACCAGAATACAGCAGCTAGTCGGCCATCTGTTGTATTCAGTAAAAATAAACCCTTCAGTCTCAACATTATTATTATTATTATTATTATTATTATTATTATTTCCTTTGGCTTCTGGTGTATACTTATTTCTTTTTGGGTCCCTACTAGAGACCTAATGTCAGAAATGGTATCATGACATTTGTCACTGAGCAATCACACATATTTTGCACAGAAAATGGTGTGGGCTGTACTCGTGAGTACATTTTTTTTTTATTTCTTTAAGGCATGGGCTACCAGGAATCCCTTCAATGAGTCTCTTGGAATCTTTTCCAATCAATCAGAGTGTTCCACTTACAACTGGAATTGCTGATGTTCTCATGCAAAAATAAAGACATATTATTATTATTATTATTGTGTTGGCTCATCTTGCCAGAATAGAATTTTTAATTGCCTAATTACCAAGTCTTCTCCGGGGTCTAGGAGTAAATAGGACACTGTAGCAGAGGTACTCATGCACATTTATCTATGTACATTTGGGATATTTCGTTGAGATGCCGAGGGTTTTTTTTTTTTGGTGGATGCTATATGCACATCCACACAATGTAAAAGATTACATTGTAGTTTTGATGTACTGATGTATCCAGGAATTTTACTCACAAGACTTTCACTACTTTTCTTTATTATACCCAATGCCCTTATCTCAACAGGGATAATTGTAATTTTAAGTTTCCATTTTTTTATTCCCTCCATTTTCAGGTCATTATAATTTAACAGTTTTTTTTATTCTTGTTTAGAATCATTGGAATCCTGTGGACAAGTTCTAGCAATTAGTTGGCAGGTTCCTTTTTTGAAATCTTTTCTTGATTTCTTTTATTAAAATTCTTTATTATTATTATTGAAATCTTTATTATTATTATTATTATTATTATTATTATTATTATTATTAATAATGATATTTCCTTTGATTTCTGATGTGTACATCGGATCTTTCGGATCTCCTTGAGACCTAAAAATTAAAAATGGCATCATGATATTTTCCAATGAAAAAAAAATTACATAAAAATTGTCCCTTCATAACTGTGTGGGCTATACTCATGACAAAGATTTTTTTGTATTTCTTTAAATACAGCATGGACTTCCAGGAATCCCTTCAATGAGTCTAAATGGAATCTTTTCACCAATCCGGGGCTCCAATTATTATGTATTACATTTTTAGATTTCGATATCAAAGGTCCTTGTATTTTTTGGGTCATTTTGAAGATCTTGAAAGCTACATTGCAGTCTGCAGGGACTGCCATATCAATAAGGAAGCACTTTTTTGTGTGTGTGCCATCTCTGATAACAATGTCTGGGAGATTAGCTTTCATTGTTCTGTCTGTGTGTATTGTGTAATCCCATAAAATTGTAACAGGTCCTATCTCAGTAACCGGGTCTGGGTGGTGATCCATACCAGGTTTTATATTATTATTATTTTTTTTATTTTCTTTGATTTCTGGCGTTTACATTTCTTTCCGGGTCCCTTGGAGACCTAATTTTAGAAATGGCATCATGAAGTCTTTCCACTGACAAAAAAAAAAAAAAAACTTACATAGATAAAGCCCATTCGTAAATGTGGGCTGTACATGTCAGAACAATTTTTTGTATCTCCTTTAGGCATGGACTTCCAGGAATCCCTTCAATTATTATTATTATTATTATTATTATTATTATTATTATTATTATAATTATTATTATTATTATTATTATTTTCTTTGATTTCTGGCGTTTACACCCTTCTTTCCGGGTCCCTAATTGTAATTTTAAGTTAGAAATTTCAGGCATCATAATTTAACAGTTTTTTTATTCTTGACAAAAAAAAAAAAAAATTATTGATAAAATCCTTCGTAAAAGTGGGCTGTACATGTCAGAACAATTTTTGTATCTCCTTTAGGCATGGACTTTTAGGAAAATTCAATTATTATTATTATTATTATTATTATTATTATTATTATTATTATTATTATTATTATTATTATTATTATTTTTTTGATTTCTGGCGTTTATCCATTTCTTTCCGGGTCCCGCCCAGGGACCTAAGGTTAGAAATGGCATCATGACATTTTCCACTGAAAAAAAAAAATAAAATAAATTAAAACCCTTCATAAAGTGTGGGCTGTACTTGTCAGAACAATTTTTTGTATCTCCTTTAGGCATGGACTTCCAGGAATCTCTTCAATTATTATTATTATTATTATTATTATTATTTTGCTTCCGGAGAGCCTATGATGTTTGTTGTGTAGTGAGAAGTTTATTTTCAGGTCACCTGTCGTGCTTTAAGAAAATAAAGCTGACATTTTTTCAGTTCACTGACAGGCTGTATACAAAAATTTACGAAGTGTCCATGCTACTTTTATGTTCTGACAAAGACAGACAAAAATAAAAATAAAATAAAATAGAAAGTAAAATAAAATAAACGGATAAGTTAAGCGAGGTAGCGCCGGACAGGACGAGTAAAGATTGAACAATTTGAAGCTGGTTTACTGATATACTTAGAAGCGAACGCATGGAGATTATCATACAGGGATTATCATAGATTATCATGGAAACTGATACCCGATATTAGTATCTTATTTATCATTTTTGTTTTTGATAATCGTTCGATATTGATATTTGCTAGATTAGCATAGAAAGGAATTCCAAGAATTCTTGTTTATTTTGGGTAATTTCGATTCTCTTCTCATTTTTCGTTGACTTTTCCATTTTTTTTAACATTGCGTTTAATGCCAACTCATTCGGAATATAGGATTTTATTTTAAATGCGATGACTCTTTAGAAAATACTGTCAAATCACGCTGAAACACACGGTTCTCGTTCGATCACCGAAGTTAAGCATCGTCCATGCCAGGTCTGTACTTCTGATGGGGGACCGACTTGGGAAAACCTGGTACTGTAAGCCCCCAAAATCCAACCCTTACCTCACAGTCGGTGGGGGGTGTAAATGGTAGTGTCAGAGTAAAGAACTTCGTTCCTGGTTACTGATACCAAAGGCGGACAGGTCTGGACACACACGCCGGGATAACAAGGGCTCTGGTGAAAATCCATATTAGCGTCTGCATCGGCAACCGGCGGCTTCTCGTTCGTTCCTGTCTCTGCGTCTGTAGGAACCCCGCAGCAAGCAAGAACGTTATCCGAGTTGTTGGGTGATTCTCTTCTGTAATTTTTCGTTGAAGAATCTTCTTCTTTAAACAGGAAGAAGCCGTCTCAATCCGCCCATATAGAATGCCGCATCAGTACAGTACTCTTTAGAAAATAGTCAATCGTCGGACTTCATTTTCTTTAATTTGATGGCATCTTGCGAAAGGTAGCAGCGTGGTTTGCCAATGTCTTTTCTCCGCAAATACAGGATTACCAACAGACAGAATTTAAATATGACCGCAATACTTGGAAGCGATTACTTAATAATAAGTCTTAATAGTAAGATCAAATTGGCAGCTGATCTAAAAAAGATGACCTGCAATTTGTTGCTAAATGGAAGAAGGATTGACTTGTTAATTTTACCGCCTCAAAAACAAACCTGCGCTCTGAGAAAACAGTTTTTACCTTCCATAAACATGGCTGATGCTAACCTCCAGGAGAGCGACTCATTGCGCCTCGGACTAACGTTTTCTGCTGACATGAAGTGGGAAGTATATGTTGAATCAATGGCTAAATCTGCAGTTAAGAAAGTTGGTTCACTGTTACGTTCTAGACATTTTTCTCGCCAGAATCTATCTTATATATTCATAAATATACTATTCTGTTGCAGCATATCTACAGCCGATAATACTAGCCTACAGTTGGAGATTCGTCTCCAGCTGTGCTGGTCAAAGTCTGTCTCCGGACAGAGAGGATCCTCAGACGGGGCTATGTCAAAGGGCAGAGTCTCGTCTCGGGAATTAGGCCCCCATTTTATACAATTTTGGCGAGTCCACAGGCTCGGATACCAACATTAAATTCGGCCTTGTGCTGCATCTGACCGCGTGGGGCGGTTGGTAAATATTGGAGAAGCTCTCAGCTCTGCTGGTCAAACTCTCTTCCAAACAGAGAGGATCATCGTACGAGTCTCTGTCGAAGGGTATAGTCTCGTCTCGGGAAACAGTTACCCGACGCCGTTTTATACGGGGTCTACGGAGAATTTTGGGCCGAGGCTACGGGCTCGGTTACTCTACATCCAATAAAAAATTTTGTGGGCATTAAATAACCCATTGAGGTTGATATGCCGTAAAACAAAAACCAAACCAAAAACCTTTAGATAAATTCCTTTACGAATTCTACTGCCAAAATGCTCGAAAAATCGTTTGTTCTCGTTCCAAGTGTCAGACTGGGCCATATTCGATCTGGAGCCGTAAAATTTTCTTTTTATGCCTTGGGAGCCCCAAATCTTTTTTTTTTTTTTTTGTCTGTTCTTCTGGGTGATGAATTATTTTCTTCTTTGGAACCTCTTTCCCACAGACTGAAATTTGCAAGCCTGCGCTACACTATTTTTATTTCAATGACAAATGTTTTGATGAGTTCCTTACTTAAGTTCTAATACTTCAGACCTTTACTGCTAGAATAAGCTATGCTACTTCCAAACATTCGAATCACCCTTATTTTCTTTATCTTCTACAAGTAAGGAGGAACGTTCCTTCTGCCTTTTCTCGACAACTGCCATTTAGTGGAACAGATTCCCGCGTGGATGCTTTCCTGTACACTATAATCTTGATCTCTCCATGTCAATGCTCAATTTTTATATATCCTTCTTATTCCCAATTCCTAGGACATTATTCTTATTCTTTGGGCCTTCAATTTGAATGGCTCTCGAAATTTAGTAAAAAAAAAAAAAATATTTAGTCTATCGGCTGCTGCTGATGGCCTGATCGTCAATATTTCAAATTTGTTTTTGTTGTTTTCCAGGAGAATTTCTGCTTTGTCTTGATACACATTTTTTAATCTGTTCGAACCAAAATTGTTTACGTAGCAACAATTGTAGGATAGTCAATAATTAGTGATTCACTCTATACTAATTTTATAATTTACTAGCAGTAGTGCCCGGTGTTGCCCGGGGATGTAACAGTAAGATATAGATCAATTATCGACCATCACATCATTAAAATTGGCAAAGATCATTGTTTAAGTTTGACGGACACGCATGTCTTAATTAGTGTTTTTTTTTTTGTTTTTTTACGAATTGGTCAAAACGCAAACTCAAACAAAAACATTATTTTCAATCGTTATGAGTCTACCGATTGAATAGAATTTTATTATAAATAATTGTCTTGTAAATGGAATTTTTAAAGCATTCTGAATGTAAAAATAAAGAAAAAAGTGTGCAAGACAATAAGAAACACTACCTGCCAAAAAAAAGTGAAGTTTTTTTTAAATCAGTTGAAAAATGTACGAATATATATAAACGAACACACACACACACACACACACACACACACACACACACACAAACAAACAACCTGGGTTTTATAATAAGTATAACTCGATATGAGTTGTCCCCCTTTCATTTTCGTGATACCTCTTAATCGTGTTTTCAAATTGATTTCGTGCAAAAACAAGTGTGTTTTTCCCATTTTTGGCGCTGTCAGAACCACCGCAAGGTAATTTTACGTAGTCCTGTGAAATTTTGTTGAAATCGGTTGAAAAATGTAGGAAATCCGATCCAATATATAAACGTACAGACACACACACACACACACACACACACACACACACACACACACACATACACAACCTGGGTTTTATAATAAGTATGATTATGCATTTTATAGTCCCAACCCTCTATAGAAAGGTAGTATTTTTTCCACTGGGATTGACAATTTTTGACTTGAAACTAGATTATTTTATATCCTTTGATTTCTGGTGTATACTCATTTCTACCTGGGTCCCAACCAGAGACCTAAGGTCAGAGATGCCGTCATGACATTTTCCACTGAGCATTTTTTTATGAAAAAAAATCAAAAGACAAGATCACACACCTTTTACATAGATAAATCCCTTCGTAAGGTGTGAGCTGCACTTGTGAGTAAAATAATTTTCATACTACTTTAAGTCTTGGGCTATCAGTAATACCTGCAATGAGTCTATTGGACTCTTTTCAAATCAATTCGAGGGCTCCAACTATAGCTGGAATTGTTAATGTTCCCATGTGCCACATTTTTGAGGTTTCGATTTCAAGGTCTCTGTATTTTGATAGTTTTTTTTTCAAGATCTTCAAAGATACATTGCAGTCTGCAAGGACTGCCATGTCAATAAGTAGGCATATTTTGTTTTTGCAATCTCTGATCATGTTGTCTGGGTAATTAGCTTTGATTTTTCTGTGTGTATTGTAAATTCCCATAAAATTGTGATATGTCCTATCTCTGTAACCGAGTGTGAATAGTGTTTATACCAATTTCAGCAGGTTTCATATAACTTTCTTGCATATTATTATTATTATTATTATTAGTGTGATGGATTTTAATCCTTTGAAAACTTTTATTTTTAGCAGCATGTGCTTTCTTCTGAAAAGCTTAGATAATCCTTTTTTCCTCCATCGGATTAAGACCACTTTTGTCTATTTGGAAACCTTTTTTCATCTAAAAATAACATTCTAATCAATTCATTTCCTCGTTTTGCCGCAAGCAGCTTTCATAATTAATCGATGTTATCAGGATGAGCTGTGATAGGATGTTTATTCCTTGAATTTAGGATTTTTTTTTTTGGAAACGCTTGCAGCCTTAATCACCTTCAGACCTATTCTTCTCATTTCTATCGGAATGCGTGAAGACAATTTTCCCTACCAGTAAGATGTCACCTACTGCCATTTCATTTCGGCTGAAGGCCAAAGTGTATAAATAATCCTCAGTTAAATGAAATAGACTCGACCTTGAGGACCCATGCCGAAAATATTGTGACTGACAACTAGTAAAAGCGCTTACGGCCGCATAACGTTCAAACAAGGTGAAGCAATGTGGAGCCTGTTCATTACCTAGAGGGTGACCACTTGGGAATACAATATACAGTAAGCTTGGATGTGCGGGTGGTGCAATGGTTCGTTTGTTAATCGGCGAGCTGAGTTCCAATTCCAGTTCTGTTCGTCATATTCACTTAGGAGCAAATACCCTTGAGAAAGGTATGAATTCACCACTTCTCCTCCAGCTATGGGTTAATTTTTAAGAGGTGTATCACTAAACAATATCTATCTCCAAAAGAATTCTTACAATTTAAAAATATTTTCCGGTTTTGAATAACCTGCAAAGGGTTGATAAGCCGTAAAAATTGAATCAATAAAAATAGTAAAATACTTGAATTACTAACTAATTAGAGTTATTTTGTTACAGTCATAACTGGATACAAATACATCTACTTGAAACTAGTGGTGTGTAGCCAACCCGAAGTAGTGTTAATTACACCCTCCGTTGCTGTATGCAATTTACGTTGCTAGTAGTAGTGTTAACCACTCCGTTGCTGTATGCAATTTACGGACGAGAGCAAGCTAATGTAAATTACGAAACAGTTTTCTCATATAAAGTGTTTCAGCAATATTTTTAAGTTACTACTCTCACCGATCTAGTCTGATGCTAAAATTTTTATATAGCCACTCGTTCAATATTTCATATACCTCCTTTATCTTTTTCTCACATATAATCTATTCTTTCTTAAAAAAAAATTCTTTATCTTACCATCGACTCTTAATCGCTCTATCTCTCATAAACGATCTTTATCTTTCTCTATCATATGCACTATGACTTTCCCTTATATATACTCATTATTATTCTCTATCACATACCTATCTTTCTGTCATATACTGTTTGTATCTTTCTCTATCATATACTCTCTTAATCTTTCTCTCTCACTTTATCTTAATCTTATATACAGTCGTTATCCTTCTCTCATACACGCTTTGAATATTTTATATATTCTTTCTTTCACATATACCTCCTTT